TTTTTTGGCTCAAGGTGCAAAGCGCACGAAGCCTGACAGCCTCGACTGTGTGGCGAAAAGTCAAGCGGTGTTCTCGAGCCGACACGTCGTTTTCGCAGTTGGGGGCTGTTCTGGGAATCTCGGTGTCAAAGACCCCAGGATAAGCAGTCGAGGCCTCAGGCTCACTGCTGAGATGGCAAAGCAAGTCCGAGGATACGAAGGGACCTTGCTAGAAGCTATCGAGGCAGGTGTGGTGCCGCGGCCTGAAAGGTTGCGGTACAGGGAGTGGCTTGCTTGGCGGGCAGCGGAAGGACAAAGGCCTACGCGTCGCCGTGGGGATATCTCCGGAACCACTACAAACGGTGAAGAAGCGGAGCTGTGGCGCGAGGTCATGCGCGCGCTCCATGAGGAAGACCCAGGAGAAGCAAGTGAAGGAAATAGCGACAATCAGGAGGAGGAAGAGCTGCTGAGTGCGGACGACGGGACTGGAAGGGACCGTGCGGCCACCGGCGCCGGGAGATCGACAGAACATCCTGACAGGTTTGCGCTGGAGGATGGGAGAGCGACTCCTGCTTCTTCTACTGTCGGCAACGAAAGTGTGTTCAAGGCACCAGTTACTGCCGAAGCACTTGAGCACGCAATGGCACGGCCTTACGATGGGAATAAAGAAACAGCAAAGAAGTTTGCGCGAAGGGTTTACCGAATTGCAGATGTCCTGCAAGAAATGGGAGCTGAGGTGGACATGCTAGAAGTGGAGCTCAAGGTGGCTCGCGCCATTTTTTTCAGAAAAGGTTCAGGGCCAAACGCCTGAGGAACAGCTCGCCTCTCTCAAAGAGTTTTTCCGCGAGTTATTGTTGGAAGATCCACCTGAAGAGCAAGAAGGAGAGCATGAAGCCCGTTTAGAAGTCCTGTTGCATATGATTCAGGAGAGAGGCGGGAAACTCAGCAAAACCATGGGAAAGGTCTTCTCTTCAAATGAAGGGACGCCTGAAAAGAGCGGTCCGTCGAAGGTGTTGGACTACACTCCAGCGGGCAGGGGCCGCGGAGAAAGCTCTCCTGTGGGCTTAGGCCACGGAGATGGGTTTCGAAGCCCAGCTATCGAGAGGCCAGCCGCAGAAGTGGCGGATCTCAAGCGGCGCGTCGCCGAGCTGGAAGGAGACGCTCGGTCCGAGGCTAGTAGGGGTGTAGATGTGAGCGCTTTTGCTGAAGCCATCGAGAAACAGACGAAAGTCATGGCCGAAGCACTCGGAAAGAAACAGAAGCGCTCGACCATTCAAGTCAGCCCAAAAGTCCATTGGCCCACGTTGGATGATGAGTGCAGCGACTACCGGTCAGTCCAGGAGTTCTATGACTCTTTCGAAGCCACGATTGGGTTAGCAAATGATGGGGACGGGATGACTGACATGGAAAAGCTCACCACGTTGAAGGCGTGCTTGAAGCAGCACCGTTTGAAAACGTATGAGCTGATTTACCGCAAGAACCTCGGCTCGGGAATAGTCAAGGAAGATCCTGGCGAGGTGTACAGGCAAATCAAATCCAAACATTTGATGTTCTCCGAGACAGCGGAAGAGAAAGAGATTCGCGTCTTGGAAGAAGGTGATGCCCTTCAGAAAGGAAAACTCTCCGCCTTCCAGTGGGAAGTGCGATGGGAGTCTCACCTGGCGGATCGAGACAGCGTTGGGCTTGGTCTAAACGCGAAGGAAGCCTTGATCCAATATTTCAGGAAGATTGGGCCCGCGCTTTCCCGCGACGTAAGACGTGACAGACGTTTTCGGCCAGATGGGTCGGGGGGAAATGTGTTCCGCGCAGTTGCGACATGGGAGGAGGCTCATGAAGTCGTAAAGGAGATAGAGGAGACAAATGCAGGACAGAAGGCGCTAAACAATAGCACGTTTGCCGTCAAGCAGGTTGGAAAGGATGGCCAGAAGGGAGCAGATCAGATTCACGCGCAAGGCTCGGAGTCCTTAGCGGCTAAGGTGTGCTATGAAATGCGGGACAAGGGCACTTGCTCCCGCGGAAAGGATTGCAAGTTCTCCCACGACAAGGCAGTCGTGGACGAGGGAAGAAGGAAATGGGTGAAAGAAAAGAAGCAGCAAGAACGGCCTTCCGAAGAGCCAGTAGCCAAGTACGAAGGAGGCCGGAAAGGAGGAAAAGGAAAAGGTAGTGGCCGAAAAGGGGCGGATCAGGCAGGATCCAAGGGCGGGCAGGACGACCGTAAGTCCAAAGCGTGTAGATTCTTCAACACTGCCGGTGGCTGCTCAAGAGGATCCAAGTGCCCGTTTAGTCACGCCTTGCAAAAGGGGTCTGGAGGTCCTCCAGGAAAAGGCAATTCTGGTCCTCACCTTCAGCTCGCTAACCTCCCGGACCTCCGTGGTGTAGATGGAACTGGCAGAGGCATGGAACGCAGTAACCCTTTTGGTTGTTTTGAGCCTGTGGTGTGCAGTGGGAACGGCCGAAGCCAAGCGACCGAAAAGGTGCTGGCTACAGATCCCAAGGCCAAAGGCAAGAAAGGGAAGGCCGGGAAGCAAGGAAAAGGAAAAGGGAACAACAATGATCTGACAAGTCTGGATCAGCTCCCGCAGCGTTGGTGGACTGAGTCGCCAAACTGCAAAGGGGGGTACCAGTACCAGACAGAGGTCAAAGTGCTGGATAGGTATGTCGGATGCTTATTGGATGGCTGCGCAGGGTGTAATTCAATCACTGAGGAAGTAGTGATGGGAGCCATCCGAGCAGCTTTGCAGCAAGGGATCGGGCCGGACAGTGAAAAGTTTCCGGTGGCCCAATTAGAAAGATGGCCGCAAGAAGAAGTCGTGATGGGTTTGGCAAATGACGCCCCTATCAAGCTGAAGGGTGCGGTCGTGATGCGCGTTCAGATGCCTGACGTGAACGGCCAAAAGGTCGAAGAGATCCTCGTACGGGCAAAGGTAATCGGCAAAGGGTTGTCGACGTGGCAAGGCCTGATCCTCGGCGGCCGGGCGCTGGACGCGGTGGAGCGCGGCGGACTGGGTTTTAGGCCAGCAGCGTCGTGCCACGTGTTTGACGGCTTGGGAGTGAAATTACCTAGAAAGGAGGAGATGGAGCCGTTTCCAGACCGTGCCTATCCATTTGTCTCTATCCCAAAGACCCTGTTCGATCAGGCATGGGATCCGGACGAAGAAGGTGACGAGGTCAAGATGGAAGGCGAAGTGTTCGTCAGTGAAGAGGACCTCGTGATGGAGCCGATGACAGGGGACTGGATCAGAGTGACCAGTCAGGAAGGGACATCTAGGCGGCAAGTTTCCGAAGGAGACACCGTGATTCTGCCCTTCGAAGGAGCAAAGGCTGAAGTGGTGCCAGGGATCTGGGACCCGAAGCAAGCTGAAGGTCAGGTATACGTGGCTGCTCAGGACACAGAGATCGTCATCTCCAAAGGGGATCCACTCTGTGTAGCCGTTCGAGCTGGAATCGAGCAGGAAATCTGCCCGACTTGCCAGGTTGTGGAAGCAGCAGCCTGGATCTCAGGTCCAGAGTGTGAGGCGTGCAAGGGAATGCAAGTTCCTAGATGCAGGACAAATGGTCTTTGCAAGAGATGTGGAAGTCGCATGGTCGGAAGAGAGCAGAAACGTTGTGCTCGATGCAGACCGCAGCAGGCAAATGGCAAGCCGCAAGTGGTGCTGCTCCTAGCAGGCCTCATGGCGTTCTTGACGGCAGGGGTTGCGGCCGAAGGCGCGCCCGAAGCTGTAAGTAAAGGAGTGACATCTACATGGAAGCCGGCGCAAGAAACAGTTTTTCACATTGTAGAGACTCCAGGGGCTTTGGACCTCATGGCGGAGGAGAGTCCAACGGACGAGTACTATCGTCTCTTACGGGAGGATATGGAGAAAAGGTATCCGGAAGCCTCAATCCATCTGTTGGACCACCTTGAAGCCCTGGAGTCCTTCCTAGATCGGAGTATCGTCGCAGGGATGACGTTTGGCATAGACAAGGCAAGCGTCGCTGTTGTGGAAGGCGAGCTGCTAGGACATGTCGTCGGACGTTCTGGCGCCCGAAGCAACCCTGAGCGGACCAGGGCGGTCGCCGGGTTTCCGCCTCTGAAAGAGAAACTCCATATCCAACAATTTCTTGGATGCACAAATTTCTTGAGAAATTACATCCCTCCACAGTATGGTTATTGCGCAAAAGTGCTTGGCCAGTATATGAAGGGAACAGAGAAAATCCCAGAAAGCGGATTGGGCCCTGGAGATACTCTCGGGGACAAAGCAGTAAGAGCGATAAAACTGATGGCTCGGCGGTCGATCGAATTGGCCGTCCTGGACGAAGCAAGTGCGATCAGCCAGGAAAGACCATTAGAGCAGATAGCAGACAGCTCTGGGTATGCTATCGGGGGTTCTGCGCTGCAAATGCGGGCGGACCTGTCAGGCTTCAACGTTTTGGTCACCCATAGAAGCCTGGGCCCCCTTGTCTTTGGAAGGATACGCGCAGTTGGAGGTACGAAGAGCGGTGAAAAAGATCCTGGGGCCGATCCGGTCGATATGTTGGACAGATCACAGTAATTGGACAAGACAACAGACTGCCGAAAATGTAGAGCCTAAGCATCTCCGGTGGTTGAGTGAGATCCTGGCTGATGGTTCAGAACTCCGGAGTTTGTCCGGGAGAAGTGCGAAACTGGGAGATGGCTACTCGAGGAACCCGCCCGAGAGGGATCAGCTTCTGGAGCAAAGAAGCAAAGATCTGGAAGGACTGGTAGGTCAGTTCCGCGGATTCTCTTTGGAAGGGTATCTCGGGGAAGAGGCGAACGACATCTTACCTTGGTCGATCGGGGAAGGAGTTCTGCCGGAAGCAGAAAGCCCGGATAGCCAGAAGGTGGTGTCGACGATCGCCAGTTTCGTCACCAAATTCGGGAATGACAGAGAAATGCTCAGAAAGAACATGTGCGCAGCGGGAGTATCATCAGATCTCCGCGTGCTTTATGTCCCAGATTATGTATCGGGGGCAGCAAGGCTGAGACAGACGCAAGAGTTAAGTCGGAAGTTCCGGGCGACGTTTCCGGAATGTGAAGTCAAAGTCTCGCTCTCAGAAGGGCCGTTCGAAGACCCGGAAGGGCATGGCTGCCATTTTGAAAAGCAAGGGAAGCAGAAACTGTCAGGGCGAAAGCTGTCGAATGCTACTAGGGTCGACTTGTTGACCTCGGTAGCCACCTTGCTTAGGAATATCAGCCATTACAATCCCCATGTGATCGTGGCAGCAGGTCAGGGCGCCGTCATAGGATTGGCAGCGGCGTCCCCGGTAGTAGTGGAGACGGTGATGCTGTCCAGAAATATTCAGCAAGGAGAAGCCCACAAACTAGCGACTGCTTGGGCAAAAGTGAAAATCATTGCAGGAGTCAACCCGAGGATTAGCAAAGCAAATCCAGGTTGTGAGTTGCTCAAGGAAGCCTGCCCGGAGATGTTCAAGCCACATCCCCTGGAAAGTATTCCCCGACTAGGCCTCTTAGAAGGAGAAGTTCCGAGGAAAGAGGAAATCCGGGAATTCCTGGGAGCGGCAGGAGTAGTGCTGGTGGAGACGTGGGATTCGATCTTGTGGAAGGGATGGCTGGAAAAGCCTTCAAAAGATATTTGGGAGCATGGTGGGTTGTGTGCCTGCGGTCGGAGGACGCGGCTTTTCGGGCAGTGCATGGAGTGCATCGCCCAAGAGCATTCCGAAGATAAGCTTGCAAGGGCTTTGAAAGAGGAAGAAGAATGCGTCGAAGAAGACCAGGGAGCTAAACGAGAAGGGCTCATACAGAGTTTCAATCTCAAGGCAGAGATAGAGAGAGATGAAGACACGGGGTTGGAGAAGTTGACGAAAGGAGCAGAGGATTGGCTGGATCAGAGATACCGAGAAAGGGAAGCTGTGGCAGAAGAGGCCAGAGGAGCTTCAGGCTCTCGGCTCGGAGTAGGCCAAGACTTAAGGAACGCTTGGTTCAAAGATCAAAGAAGCGATCCCAAGCTGCTTCCAATCATCCAATCTTGTTGGAAGAAGAAGGAATCCAGATTCCGAATTGCAGATGATGGACTGCTGGAGAGACTCGTGCGTAATGTGGACGGAACAGGCGCTGAGAAATGGGTACCAGTAGTTCCTGAAGGGGAAGCGGCCCATATGATGACCTGGCGAGAGTTTTGCGCAAGACAGGTTCACGCGGGTGTTATGGGGGCACACAGGAGCGGAAGCAAGATGCTCACCCTGTTGCGACGTACCTGCTGGTGGGAAAACATGGAAGTAGACTTGGAAAAGTTCAGCGACAATTGCCTTACGTGCATACGGGGGCGAAAACGTCCGGCTAAGCAGCAGGCAGTGGCAGTGAAGCCTTCTTGGTTGGAGTGTTGGGAAGAAGTCGCGGTGGATTTCGAAGGCCCAATGCATCCAGAAGATGCAGCAGGTAACAGGTTCATCCTGTCCTATATGTGCTGCGCGTCGCATTCCATCATGCTGGAACCTTGCAAAGCTTTGACGCAGATGGAAGTGAGAAGGGCTTTTTCTAAGTTGATGTTCCGGAGCAGGACTATCCCAAAGGTGCTACGCTCAGATCGAGGCCAAGAATTCCAGAGTACCTTAATGAGAGAGTATTGTGCGAGATCCTGGGTTTGCGGCAAAAGTTCAGCGCACCCTTGAGGCCCTGCGAGCTGGGTGCTACGGAACGAATCCACCAGGAAACCCAGAAAGTGTTAGGTTTGATGGTGCACGATGTGTGCAAGGCGAGACCTCACGAATGGGGTGAGCTCTTAGGAGTGGTGGAGTTTGTGTTGGATACCACCCCTGGGCCGTCAGGGATTGCGCCTCGAGATTTTGAAAGAGGCTGGAGTATAGCGTGTCCTCTGGAACGAGAACTCTTAGGTCAATCAGTGTGGGAATTTGAGCCCGTAGAAGAGCATACAAAGAAACTGTTCAGGTCTTATCGGGAGATCCGTGTGAAGGTGCTGGGTTGGTATGCAGCCTCTTCTGCCAAAAGGGCGGAACGAGCCAACAGGTTCAGAAAGGTCAAGGTTGTGGAGATCGGAGACCTCGTGGTCTATCGCGACCCGCGCCTCCGATCTGGAGGGCGAACGCCTTGGCGCAAGCAACTTTCTGAACCCTATCGAGTCGTAGCGCAGAGAGGTAACCGTGTGGACCTGGAGTCACCGGTTGAGGGCGGCGTTCGTGGGGGTACGTCTTCTTCTGCGCGTCGCCTTCTTCGCGATGTGCACATGGAGGATTTGTTGCTCGTGCCACCGGACGCCCTAGAAGTGGAAGCAAAAGCAGCGTGCCAGTTTGAAACTGAGGACTCCCCCATGGCAGTCCGCTCACCCGGAATGATGTTAGAGGAACGCGGGCGAGCGACAGCTGCCGCGGAAGGCGTAGTGCCAGGGAGGGCGAATAAAAGAACAAGCCAAGGAAAGCTTGCGTCACTTCGTGTTGGGAGTTTGGTTGCGTACGCCGCCGATAGCATTCGGGCAAACGCGCCGGACAACAAGCACGTCAAACGGTGCAGAGTGGGGCAGGTACGAGACATTCACCCAGGGGTGCAGCAGCTACAAGTGCATAGGTACCAACCGTTTGCCGATGGCAGGTTGAGAGTGTTATGGAAGCCCATCTACTTGTCGGCTGGTACGAAAGAAGAGACTTTTGAAGCCTTGGGGAATGAGCCGCTGATCGAAGCAGTTTTCCTGCAGCGCGTGATCACCGAAGTGTTCCTGAACAGTGGCGTAGTGAATCATGCTTCAGCGCGGCGGATTGATGCCAGCGGCTATCGAATCGATGAGCGGAAGTCGCCATCTTTGGTTAAAGAAATGGAGCAACTCCATTGCGCTGCGGTCCAGCAGTCATGGGTGCAAGCCCATGCGACATTAGTGGCCGTAACTAGCCCTGAACGAACGTTGGAGCGACCAGAAAATGGCTACGGTATAGGCGGCCTAGAAGGAGGACCAGAGCTCGAGGCGTTGTTGGAGCAGAAGCACCAGGAGGCATCCAGGAAGTGGAAGGCATTTGCCTCAGCGAAGCAGTGGGACGAAGTACGGTCGGATATGAGTGCGTACCGATTCAGCGGAGAGGTCCCAGCTTCAGACCCGAGGCGTACGGAAGAGTATCGGAGTTCCGTCGTGTCTGGCCTGGGTTTTGCTCCCGACAAACGGGATTCAAAAGGCTGGTTGAATGACCAGGAGTTCGCCGCTTGCCGAGAGGTGCTCCACAGGAAGGCGGCAGCCTTTTGGGTCCCACAAACTTTGCGCACCACGGTGCGTCACGTTCAGCATGATACCATTCCAACGGGGCCGCCCGTGAAGACTCCGCCACATCGTTTGTCGCCAGAAGCTGCGGAATGGATAGACAAGAAGATAGAAGAGGAGGTGGCGCGAGGTCAGCTGGTTCGTGGGAACTCCCCATGGGGTAGCCCACCGTTTCCGACTAAGGACATGCCTTCGCATAAGCGGGCCAGAAAAAGAAGGATCGTGGTGGACTATAGGAGAGTCAACGCCCGAGTTCTTCGAAATTCATACTACAGCAGGAAAGCTTCCGAGGTAATCCTGGAAGCGGCAGGATCGGCATTCCTCAGCATGTTAGACGCCGTCACCGGGTTCAATCAGGTAGAGAACACCGAGAGGGCGAAGAGGGTCCTGGCGCTCGTTTCTCGAAGCGGCCAGTTCTTGCCAACGTGTTTGACCTTTGGCCCGCAGAATGGACCGGAAGATTTCGCGTATGTCGTGGATAGGATTTATGCTCCAGGCAAGCATCGCAGAATGCGCTTGATGAAAGAATGGCTGCCATATGTGGACGATCTGACCATCCGTTCCGGCAGGGTTCTAGATGGAGTCGTCTATCGCGACAAAGAAGTGACTGCTCGCGTCCGGCAGGCGATCGAACGATCTTCAGTGCAGGAGCAGCAGATCACGGAAGCTTTAGAAGCCTGCGGATTTCGCTCTCGCGGCCTGGGCGCAGAAAGCAGTCCAAGCCAACAACTGGTAGGCCCAAAGCGGCCGGTACAAAAGGAAGCGCAAAGAAAAGGCCAAAACAAAGAAGACGGTAAGACCGGCGAGTCAAGCGCTAGTAAGATGAGTTCCTTTGCGACCAAATAGGTGCGGGGAAGAGCAGGTACGACTTTCCCGACAAACAGGGAGGTGTAGAACCAGAGGTTTGCAAGGTTCCTCCCCCGGTGGCTCTTGTAGAACGAGTGTTGACGGTTGAGTGGGGTGTTAGGAGTTGGGGCAATCCTCAGGAAACCCGGGTTCCTAGTTGCAACAATCCCACTAACGTTTCCCGCAGCCATTTGCTGGTTCAACGGGCGGTGTCTAGCGAGGCCGTAGAGAGCTTGCTACAGACGCCCACCAGAGGCGATAGGAAGGGTAACAAGGCAGGGGACGAGCGACTACTGACCTGCGGGCGCACCCTGCCGCGGTCCGTGAGTATGGGCGGAGAAAAGGGCAAGGGCCGAGGAAAGTTCAAAGGCCTCTGGGATGTTTGGGCGGGGCAGTGGAATGTTGACGAAGTCAGCCGAAGGATCACGAAGCTGCTCCGGCATGGGAGAGACCTCTCAGAGCAAGAGAAGGTGCAGCAGATCAGCGCGGCTGGGTGGTCTGCCGCATCTTTCGTGCTGCGGTGCCTCAACATCATCCCAGATCAAACAACGGATGAGCTGTTAGTGAGAGCGGCAAAGGAGTCTGGAGGGCGTCTGGAGACCAACTGGACGTCATTGGGGCTCTACATCCGGGCGCGTCATAGCTGGAGTCTTCCCCACGTGAGGGAAGGATTACCCCTGGCGATTTTGGAGCAAGAGCCCTCTGTCTTGTTCCACGGAACCTCGCGTGCCGCCTGGCAAGGGATCTTGGGGTCTGGCGCTCTGGTCTCAGAGGCGACCCTGCACGGAGGTCATGGTAGAACCGGTGTGCACCTTGTTCGCCAACCAGAAGCGATCAAAAAGGGAAGTGAAGTGATGATCTGGATTCCCACCAGGTTGTTGGGTCGGATCGCCCTGAGAGCCCAGCATCCTGTCTTCGCGAACGAAAAGGCGATTTACTTCAGCTTCCCATTACCAGTTGGGGGTATGTGGAAAGTTACAGCCGTAGATACAAAGGAAGTAGTCTGGACAAATGACGCCATGACACCGAGCAGAGCAGACACGCCGCAAAGCACCCCTAGGGCAGCGGACCAAGTGGTCGCGCCTCAGGCAAGTAATGCAGGTTCAAGGGCCAGAGAAGAGAGCCCAGAATCTTATGAAGAAGGAGAGTCGTCGTATGACGAGGAAGATGAAAGCGAAGCAAAGAAGAAGCCAGGAGAGAGTTCCGCCGAAGGCTCAGAGGAGACGGCAGGTCCTGGAACCGCTGAGGCTACAGAAAAAGGGGGTGGAGAACGCCCGGGGCCGGCTTTTCCACTGCCGACAGAGCCTAAAGCAGGGCTGCCGAAAGTAGCTGCTGCGGACAGTGCCGGGACCAGTGCCGAAAAGGATTCGCCTCTGCAAGAGGACAGGCCACGGAGTTCGCAAGGAACAGCCGCGATACGGTATAAGGCTGCTCCGGCGTGTTTGAAGGCCACAGTCAAGCAAGAAGTCCTAGAGAGCGAGAGGCCTAGTGGTGCGGCGGCAGCGGAGTCAGTGACAGTGGAGAAGGGGGCCACCAAAGAAGGGAGCTTATCCCATGAAGTAGCGGAAGTAAAGGAGGAACCTGGAGCGGCTCAGAGCGTCCAGGAAGAGAGCGTGAATGAAGGACCTGGTGCGGCTCATTGCGCCCAGGAGGAGAGCACGGGTAAAGGAAATCCGAGCGAAGAAATTCGTGAAGGAGGGGACCAAGTCGAAGCCAGCAGTTCGAGAAAGACAAAGGAACTTGGGCCTTCCGCTGAGCAAGTCAAGAAGGAAGCGGAAATGACGGTCCCGGTCGGGCAGGATGGGGCAGTAGTCGAGCTGGAACAGAAGCCAGACTCTTCACCCGATTGGGGAACTTCTTCAGCTTCGGAGAGCAGTCAAAGATCCCGGAGTACCCGTCGGAAGCCCAGTCCGACTAGAGAAGCATCCAGCGGTCAGGATGACGCGGATGGATCAGCCCGTCAGGTGGTCTTGCAGGCGAGGCCAGCAGAGCCGGCAATGCCACCAGAAGGGGCAGCAGGAGTACGTAGCTCCACGGCGTCCCGTCGAGACGCCGTGCGGGCGCATATGGAAACGCGCGGATCAGTGACGTGCCCGAGGTGTGGCGAAGAGAATGCGCAGTGGAGAGTGAAGTGTTATAAATGCAACCTGGAGAGAGCGGACACAGGTGCAGTTAGGAGCGAGTTCGAAGCTCCATACCACCGCGGGCATAAGAAACGCGGGAAGAAAGGCTCAGCGCGCTCCTCACACACCTGGAGAGGCGGCTGGAGCTCGGATCGCCAAGGACAAGCCACTGCATCGAGCTCGGAGGACTGGCGACAAGGCTCATGGGCTTCGCAGGATTGGCAGAACGACGCCTGGGCGCCGGAACGCTGGCAAGGTGGCGAGTGGACGTCGCAAGACTGGGGAAGCGGATGGAAGAGAAAGTACGATCCGACGTCCGGAACGGACGAGAACCATCCGTACGCGCATGCCGGCAGGCGTGGGCAGTTGGCCTAGGGGCGACGCTCCTGTTGGAAGTGGCGTGGTCAGGCGTGAGAGTCGCCCGGCAGACAGGGGAGAGCGCTGCGGCCATAGTGCGCGCGCTCGAAGGAGCTGTCGTGGCGGTTGTAGAAGCCGCCGGAGTACAGGCAGAAGCGACCGTTTCCAAGGTGTTCGAATGGATGGCCTTGATCTTGGCCTTGTGGGCTGTCTGGGCTTTGGGTAGATGGTGGAAGCACCAAGAAATGATGATGGCCGGGTTTAGCGCTGGGAAGAAGCGTGGGAAGAGAAACACCGATGCCGGAAAGAAGGGTGAACCCGAAGGGCAAGAGTTGTCGCCCCTAAGTGCACGAAGTGCCGCTTCACCTCTGCCCGCACCAAATTTTCGAACACTTCGCGCGAAGGCTAGGCTTGAGGAAGAAGGAAGAAGAACGAGATCGTTTCCGGCTCTCCCGCCTTCCACCACGACCCCAGTGCAGACGACAGGTAAGAGAAGAAGAAATCAGAGACTGGCTGGAGTTGAAACTCCTTCGATGAGCCCGGTCGGGAAAGAAAAGACCACCAAAGATCCAGCGGCCCAGTCGAGGGCGCGGACTGATGACCGTTCGGTGGTGCCAGAGAAGCCGATAGGGGCAGGACCAATCCGAACAATCGAGCTGCTGCGAAGTGCTACCGAGGCGCAAGAGTGCGCAGTACAAGTGCTGACCTCTTGTGCGGCCGAGAGCGCCAAGAAGGAAGTCATGGTTCGGCTCACGGCGTACGCCATCGACCGGCCGGAGTTGTTCGGAGCGCTAAAAGTAGCGCAAGATAGAGGATGCGACGTCGAGGTGTATGTTGATAAGTCGCAGACCGGACGAACCACAGAGCAGAAAAGGTTGGTGCACCAGGCAAGGTCCCAAGGCTTGAAGATCTTCATTGCAAATGGGGAAAGCCTGGGGCCGCACTATGCGGCAGCAGGGCGGACGCGTTACAACTTCTGTGGAGCATTGCATGGAAAGACCCTAATGGTCAAGAAAGGTGACCAACTGGAGCTCATTATCGGCTCCATGAACTGGACCACTGCTAGCCGGGGAAACCATGAGATTGGACTTCATTTGACATTAGGTCAGGAAGATCCGCTAGCCATAGGATTCCAAGAATGGGTCAGTAACGTGAAGCAGTTCGCTTGCGATTTCCAGGCAGCAGTAGCATCAGACGCGTACGCAGAAAAGAGCCTCGGAGCGGCCAGGAACTGAAGGCGCCCGAGTGGCAGGAATCCCAGCGGTCCGAGTGACGCGGGACGTGATGGTGGGAAAAGCAGGCAGGAGGGCGAATGTGAAACAGGAGTTCTCCTAGGTGCCTGCTCTTCCTGGTGTTAGGTAGGTTGAGGCTAGGCTGAAAGAGCCCGCCTTTTGGTTTTTTGGCTCAAGGTGCAAAGCGCACGAAGCCTGACAGCCTCGACTGTGTGGCGAAAAGTCAAGCGGTGTTCTCGAGCCGACACGTCGCTTTCGCAAGTGGTGGTGGTAGTGGTAGTGGTAGTGGTTGTGGTAGTAGTAGTAGTCGTAGTCGTAGTAGTAGTAGTAGTAGTAGCGGTGGTAGTAGTAGTAGTGGTAGTAGCAGTAGTAGTAATAGCAGGGGTAGTAGTAGTGGTGGTAGTAGTGGTAGTAGTAGTCGTGGAAGTAGTTGTGGTAGTAGTAGTAGTAGTGGTGGTAGTAGTAGTAGTGGTAGTAGTGGTAGTAGTAGTGGTAGTCGTGGTAGTAGTAAAAGCAGCAGTAGTAGTAGTGGTAATAGTAGTAGTAGAAGTGGTGGTGGTAGTAGTAGTACTAGTAGTAGTA